ATTGAATTTGAAATATGAAAATTTGTTTTTATGTAATTTCTGAGCATAATTATAATAAAATGAATTTTAATTAAGAAATTTAAAAAAAATATTATTATTATGTATCACGTGATTTTAATAATAACCTGCGGCAATAATATGGAATTTTTTCCATCAGTGTATACATAGTACCTGCCGGATAAGCTGAGTTACTCATCAATAACGGTACATGTGTATCTAGTCATGGTGCTCATTTATGTAAGTCTGGCCTTACAACACGAGTTACTTGTGGATTTGTAGAATCATTTAATGGGACTTTTGTTGATGATAAGTCTAGCTTTTTCACAGAATTAATCATTGTGAGAATATATGTTGAGGGAGGTGATAGTGGTGAACCTGCATTTTATTATTCAGGTTTGAATTGGGTGATTCCAAGTGGTATAACTATTGCAGGTGTGAACGGTAAACATGGCGCTGACATTCTTATTCTTGGAGCATTTTTACCAATAGCATTAATTCTCAGCAAGGTTAACTTAAATTTTATTCACTTTCAAAATTAGTTTTTAATTTACTAATTGTATAGAACGAATTGAAAATTTTCAAATAACAAAAATTTATATGTCACTACTATGATTTTTTGGTATAGTTAACTTATACTCATAATAAAATGGCAGCTTTTATAAGTCTAGGGCCATATGTATTTTGTGTTTTAGTTCTAAAGTATCAAGGGCACAGTAACATAACCTTTCGACTATTTGAATTAACATAGCCATATGACTTTAATTATAAATTGTGAATTTTCTTTTCGCATTTCTTATTCTGTATCTCTTATTTTATTTCATAAGGGAGAAGAGGGTATTGTAACAAATTTAAAATATTTTGTTTGTAACATCAAAATTGGACAGTTTTAGTATCATCTGATTAGTCTCACCAAACCGAGTTGAATAATACCAAAATCACAAAAATATCTTGATTTAAATTATTTTTAAACAATAAGAAAATTTTGGTCTTGAAGGTATTGTGACGAATTGGGAATATCTCATGATCCTGTGATCAAAATTGGATGAAATTGTACGTGTGATTAGATTGAATCACCCTTTTCTTTAATATAGGTTAGACTGTGCAATTTTTCTATGATCAAATTTCCTTGTAATTCCAGGAAAAATGTTACTTTTGCCTTTTTTATATAGATATTCGATATTGCACTTGTCTATACACTTGCAATTGCTACTATGCATTTAATTACAAAATCTAGGTCAATATTAATGTGATAAAAAAAACTTCTTTTTTATCATTAAGTAGTCTTTTTACCTTGATTTACGTTCTGGATTTTTTCTCAAACCCGTTGGGTGTAACATAAAATCACATGACTAAGATTATATGTGATTGGGCTATATAAATGTTAGATGCAGGGATGGTAAAAAAAATTTGTGAATACATTAAATAAAAGATTAATACATATATATTTCTGTATTTAAATAAGTTGGATTTACGGCTTTACTATTCTGCACCATAGGTGTTATTAGAATAGCCAATCAAAATTTAAGATCAGGTGTAACATAAAATTTTTATTTTTTTAAAAAAATGTAAATATCTCAAAATTCCGCTTATAAAATCACCTTTGAGGCTCTAATAAAAAAAATTCCTTGCTACTAACACACTTCCAAAAAGAACAAGCAAACGACGTTTACCGGATGCTGATGATTATGAACACACTAACTCCTTGGAGAACCTAGTAATGGCAGAATTTAGAAATCTAAGAAACGTCATGGCAAATTTTGATCACAAGCTAAATTCGGTGGCGTCTCAGGTTCAGAAAGTAGAAAATAATGAAGCCTGGCCAAGTTATAAGTTCGAAAGATCACGCGACCAACATGAGTATGATGTGCTATGTTCAATAGGGAAAGAATTGGACCTGGCAATAGAATCATAATGTGTAACAGATATTACTAACCATATTGCAGGGGCCCGTGAACAAGTTATGGATAGGATATTTACCCTACGTGTGGCAGAAGGGTTTGGATGGGACGTAGCAGCAGCCTTACCGAATACACAAGATAAGCTATTGAAAGGGAAAGAATCAGAGATTGAGAAAGCGAAGGCATTAGCGGATGCAAAAAGAAACAAGCGAAAAAAGTTATCAGCTGGGGGTTTTGACCCCACCTATGGGAGAAATGGGTTGCAGAACCGATATATAAAGAACGGACAAATGAGTTATCATAATAATCACCAAAATGCCTTCTATAATCAGGGCCAGTTTTTTCGGCCGGGTTACCAGGCCCGAAATTCAAGTTCGAGCTCATCAAGCAAATGCTACATCTGTGGTGGCACCGGCCATTTTGCTAACACATGCCCGTCAGACCCATATAAAAACCCAAACTGGCAACAAGAAAGAAGCTTTAATTACCGATCGCGTAGTTATACCACCTATAAAAATAAATATACCGAATCCCAGGATGATAATAAACGCGATTGACTACATCCGGGCCTAGCAGAAAATATCAGTTGTAGGAAGGCTACACCTACCAGAACATATAAAATATTGGGAACAAGAGATCAAAGCATCGGAGCTGGTTCTAAGCTGGTTGAGAAATGGGGTGCCGTTATATCCAAAAGGACTCTTGAATCTGATACTACAACCCAACCCACCCCAGTATATATTGACAAAAGACCAGGCATCGTGGTTAGATGTGGAAATAAAAAGATTATTAGAAATAAGAGCAATAGCCTTAGTTTCGGACTTAGCAAGTCGCCCGTCACAACTATTCGAAGTAAGCTCGATATTTCTGACCCCCAAACCAGGCTCCAAGAAATAGCACCTTGTTATCGACCTCAGACGCTTGAACATAATGCTGCCAGAAAAAGCATTCAGATTCGAAGGATTCGAAGCATTTTTACGAATGATGGGGAAAGATTGGTGGGTAGTTGTGTTGAACTTAAAGGAAGGGTACCATCATGTGTTGATGGATCAAAAAGCGCAGAAGCTATTAGGGTTTCAAGTGGCAGCAAAGTGGTACCACTATCGGGTTTTACCGTTTGGCCTAAGCTTGTCGGTTTGGACTTTTTCAAAAATAATGAGATCGTTAGTAGGACATTGGAGGGCATCAGGGATCTTTTGCGGGAACCATCTCGACGACATATTGATCGCTCATCCATCCCGGGAAACCTTGATCCAAATAAAAAATTCAAAAATTTTTTGGGACCTAAGAAACTGCGGATTTATTCTGGCCGAAAAATGATATCCCAAACCGACTCAGCAGCCAAAGTTCTACGGTTTGATTTTAAATACAGTAACGAGACAGGTTCTGGCACCAGAATCAAAAATAGACGCCGCACTCGTGGGCCTTCAAACCCTCTTAGTAACGAGGCACCTGACAACCCGTCGCCTTTCGTCAGTAGTGGGACGAGTAATGAGCTTGAGTCAAGCCTTCGCACATGCAAAAACCCGTTGTCTAGAGTTCTATTCGATTATCGACGCAAAAAACCGGAGGCCTTGGGAGTGGGACAATCCTATAAGATTGACAAAGCAAGCTATTATGGATATAAAATAGTTGCAAATGCCAGAACCGTGGAAGAACCCAAATTGGAAATTTCAGGCAATCAAAGTCTGTTTCTGACCACCTTACTGATGAAAGCGCACAAGACCATAGCCCCTGGATCAGCATATGAAAGATGACTCGCATGTTTGTAGAATAAGTTTGAGGGTTTTTGTATACAAAACAAACTGGGGCCATGCCCGGCTAACCCGGACTCGATACTGATTTTCTTAGTCTGGTTGGACATGTCGCAGGAACTTTTTAATCCACGCTTGTATACAGTAGCGATTGGTCAGTACCACCGTAAAATGGGGTTCCTGGACCCTACCTTGAGTTTTAATGTTCAACGCCTTCTTCGTAACCTCATGAAACGTGCTGCAATTGACAAGGAAGCCATATGGCCACGGGACCCTTTCCCGATAGAGGCACTATATAATTTTGTGAATAACCTACCTCCAAATTCTGCTAAGTTGATTTGGAAACGGGATTGTGCTATGATCGCACTAGGCCTACGTACAATGAGGAGACCCGCCGAATTATGTAACCTTCGTGTGGCTGATATTAAGATGGAGAATGGACTTTTTTGGATTAGAATAAACAGGTCGAAAACCGACCAATTCGCTAAAGGGAAATTCATACCGGTAGATCTTACCAACTCACTGTACTGCCTTGTGAGGCTAGTTCACGAATACCTAAAAGCAAGGGGTAACATTAAAAGTCAAGACTTATTATTTTTGAATGCAGCAGAGAAATGTATGTCTACGGGGGTTGTAAATTCGGCTATTAAAAGGGTGACTCGTCATGCCAATTTGGATGGTAAATATTCGGGACATAGCCTGCGCATTGGAGGGGCAACCAGCACCATGAAAGCTGGGCTAACATTACCACAAATCATGAGTATTGGAGGATGGCTATCGCAATCAGTAACACTCTATCTTAGATCTTTTTCGACGGCAATGCAAAATACATCTAGAAGGATGGGGTTTTAAAAAAAAAAAAAAAAAAAAAAGGAAAGAAAGAAAAAGAAAACAAACGAAAAGGGAAAAAGAGTAAGAATAATAAATGT